ATTTTTATTAGAAAAAATTCCCATTTAAGGTAACAAGCTTATTATCTTTATTGTTTATACTGTCTATTAAGTTAGAATGCAGATTGTGTACAAACTATTAAAATTACTTATACAGCTAATAACTTGGGAAGTCATAACAAAACAATCCATAAGAACGTTCAGCAAGGAGACTACATTTTTTATTTCTAAATTATACTTTCTTAAATGAAAAGCCAGGTGAATGATTAATCTTTTCCGCCATTCTGAAGACTACGACTTTTCAAAACATTACGCAGTAGTCAAATAAAAACTAAAAGAAAATTTCACTTCCCATTTTTTAATGGCATGTATAAGAAATAAAATATATGGTCTCTGCCTTTAAGAAATACATAATCTATACAGAAGGGCAAATATTAGTTGGAGAGACAAAATGTACAAACATAGAGAAAGGGAATGAGTCAAGTGCAAGTAAATGGAAGAAAAGCACTATAGGTTGAGGTTAATAAGAAAGCTTCAAGAAGAAGAAAATATAAATTTTCATGTCAGGAAAATATATGAACATTCTAGGTTTACATAGTATATTTGCAAGATGGTAATGGTCTTCCTGGAGCAGAGGATTTGCATTCAGTTTTAGGAGATTTGTAGGTGGAGCAAAGACAAAAAGAAAATGATGGTTTAGAAAGATAAAGCAACCTGGTAGCAGAGACAAGCTGGCTCAGCAGCATATTAACAACAATTGCTTCGGTAATCCATAGGTATCGGGAAGTTGTTCTGGCTGTCACGAGTGAGACACGGAACACTGAACTCGATGGTAAAAATGGGCAATAATCTCCCTGAATAGTCCTCAGGGATCGGGCTACCATCTTAGTCCCCTTGTATACATATATCCCAGGGGTTTCTTCTTCCTCTCAGGGTAAGGGAACCAATTTTGTCTGTGATCACAGTTTCCTTTTCTGTCTTTTTCTTGCTAGGCCATTTCCCTGGGCCTAGGTGATTCCAATCAACCATGACATATTTCTAGTGAATTTAATGGAGGACCACTCAGCCCACAGCTCCCACTATTTTAACATCACAGTCTGAAGCTATGCCTCATCTGACATTCTGAACCACAATTTTTGGCCTATAACATCGGTATCCGCTATGACCTAATATGGACTTGTGTGTCCTCCTCTGCCTCTACCTCGTGCTGCCATTACTGCTCCTGAGGTGCCTGTGTCCTCTCATCAAACTTTCCTTCCTCAAGCAGAGTCTGTCAATGGCCCCAGCATGCCAAACCTGCCTGACCACCGCAGCTGGGAATTCGATCCACCTTCTATGAGCTCATGCTGACAACTCCTCCTTCTCCTTTACCTCTCCTAACAATCAATTAACAAAGCCTCTGGGTTCCCCTCTAATTTCTCACATCCACCCACTGTCACCACCTTTGTTCAAACACTCATTACTACTTCCCTGTAGTTTTACAGTAATGGCCTAACTCATTTCTACCTCTAATCAATTCTATACTGAAGTGAGAAAACAAGCAGAACCGTAGAAAAGTTTTCATTCTTTAACCACCCGAGTAAGGGTATGAGAAGAAATCTCACCATGTAGAGTTAAAGGTTTTCATTAAAACTCCACTGTATGAATTCCACCCCTTGTTGCCTTTGCAATAGTACCCACCCTTTGCATCTTGATATTAGGTGGCGAGCACAAGTCTAACACTACCTCAAAAGAAGGTCTGGGGAGATGTTTAGGAATGAATGGTTTGTGCCCCTTATATCCTAAAAGGGAAGAATACGACTTGTGTCTTTTAAAAGAGATAACCAGAGCCTGGTGCTTAACGGGGCTTTCCAGTACTGCCGACGTGTTGCTTCTTCCATTGTCTCTGCTCACTTTAGTGTAATAAATCACACAGTCTAATAAAACACACTGGTACTGCTCAAATGAAACATGAGCTGGTAAAAAGTGAAGAAAGATTGATTCCCCCATGACATCCCAGTAAACCGGCCTGATCCCAGAACAATCTACTCATCAACAAGGAGGACCGGGCTCATATGGTTGGAGAATGGGATGCAAGGGAGAGCAGAACAGGAAATCAATACTTGGGTTGATTTTAAAATTCTCTGTTCTCTTCTGCTTTATTTATTTGTCTCTTTCTACTCAAATGCCATAGTGTTTTAATTACTATATATTTTGAGTATGTTTTGACATTAGGTAAAGCAATACTGTCTTACTGTCAACCTTTTAAAAAATATTTGTGATGACTGATATGTAATTTTCTCTTCTAGATAAACTTTAAAATCAATGTGACAAGTTCGATTTTAAAAATTCTACTGGTATTTTGTGTGGAAAGACACCGAATTTTGGTTTAATTTAGGGAGACTTGACAGTCTCATAATATTGATTTTTCCAACACGGGAACACAGATGGCTATTTATTCAAGTCTCCAACTATGGCTTTCAGTAAAGTTTTGCAGTTTTATTCATATAAGTTTCAAACAAACATTTTATAGTGTCTGTGAAATTTGAATTGGTAATAGGATCTTTAATTTCTATTACACTTTCAATTGGTTATTTCTGATGTATGGGAAAGCTATTAATTTTAGTATATTTGCTTTATATCCAATCACCTTATATTTCTTCATTCTTCATTAATATTATTTCTTCATTAATTTTAATAACTTTTTTCTCTAATTTTCTATGTAGATAATCAAAAATTCTTTCAAAATAGGGACAGTTAAAGCTTTTCCATTTCAGTATATACCACATTTTCATTGTCTTAATTGTTAGAGGTCTAGGTCTATAAAAATGATGTTGAATATTATCAGTAATATTAAGCATTCTTATTCTCTGTTTTGAAGAGGATGCTTTAATGAATTGCCAGTAGAAGCAATGCTTGCTGTTAGTTTTGATAATTATCCTCTACCTTGTATCAGGAACAGGTATTTACCTTGTCTCCTTTGTTCACTGAAAAGCAGTTTAGAGTTAGAATGGTCCTTAGAGATCATTTAGTCCTCTTGTTTATTCACCTTTTTGCCAAAACAGAAAAATAAATATTGGTCCCCAAACAAAAATTTAAAATGTGCTGGGCAAGTAGAAGCATTAATAGAAATCCCCAAACAAAAAAACTCAAATTGTACCGGGCAAAAACTCTATTATTTATATAATCATTTAACTATGTATAGTTTCCAAGACGAATGAATATCTAACATCAAATAATGAGCCAATGTAAACTTCTTCATTCATTCAACAGATACTTTGTGTATGTCTGTTATATATTAATACAAATGAATTAATTATAAAATATTAATAATTAGTCAATTGGAAAATTACTTACATTATCTAAAACTGTTTTAGGGACAAATACAAATAAATAAGCTTGGTTTAATCATGTTCAGCCTACACATGCCTAACTATTAATGCTTGCAAACCTTTCAAGAGTCCATATGCTTATTTCTCTGTAGTTTTGTCAAGAATTCAGTAATTTTTTTACTATGATACGTTCTGACCAAGTTAAACTTCATGAGTAGAGAAGGCTGGTTTGGCTCAGTCCGTGAAGCTCTGCCCAGCATACCTGATCTACTGGAACCTCTGAGCAAAGGGGCAGCTGCAGCCAGCAGACTACCAAAGTGCCAGAAGGAACCAAAACCTTTAGGAGATTTAGCTTTACTTGTGAACT